ATCAAACAAATCATCAATCCTCGGGAATGGATACTTATTCTTGATTGTAACCTTGTTCAATTGCCGGTAATCTATACACATTGGCATCGATCCATCCTTCTTCTTAACAAAAAACACCGGCGCACCCCAAGGCGAGACACTAGGTCTAATGAAGCCTTTCTCAAGCAAGTCTTGCAACTTCTCCTTCAATTCTTTTAACTCAGGCGGGGCCATACGATACGGCGGAATAGAAATGAGTTGAGTGCCCGGAGCCAACTCAATGCAGAAGTCAATATCCCTGTCGGGTGGCATACCTGACAGGTCTGAAGGAAATACTTCAGGAAACTCACGAACAACAGGCACAGAATCCATAGAAGGAACCTCAACGCTAGAATTACGAACATATGCCAAATAGGCCAAACACCCCTTCTTGACCATACGCCAAGCCTTCATATATGAGATAACACTACGGGTAGAATGACCAGGAGTCCCTCTCCACTATAAACGAGGTAAACCCGGCAATGCTAAGGTCACAGTCTGGGCATGATTATCCAAGATAGTGTGGTAAGGTGATAACCAGTCCATCCCCAATATGACATCAAAATCGACCATATCCAAAAGTATTAAGTCTACTCGGGTCTCAAGACCCCCAATCACAACTATACAAAAATGATGAACACGATCTACCACAATAGAATCACCCATCAGTGTAGACACATATACGGGAGCACTCAAAGAATCACTAGGCATGATCAAATACGGTGCAAAATAAGATGACACATAGGACTATGTGTGAGCACGTGATTTTTGCCCTAAGTGAATTACTCCCAAAAAATTCAAACAGATGATTTTCTTCATTATTCTGCAATTTTGTGAATTGTCGTGTTATTTTCTGTTAATTGTTTGCATTTATTTGTGCATTTTAATTCATATGAAAAATATAAAAAAATATATATTTGGCATGTGCATTTAGGGTTTAGTTTTACATTTTAGGATTAATTAGTAGTTAAATTGCGTTTAACATAAAGTATAAAGAAAATAACAAAAAAAGTCCATTTTTGCATTTTTAATTGTTAATTGGAGAACTTGTCATGAGTTTATTTTTAAATAGGACTTAATCAATTTTGGAAATATATTAGGTCTTTAGTTTCAATTTAGCATTTAATAAAATTAGAAAATAAAATAATGAATAAAAATAAATACAAAAGAAAAGAAAAGAGGGATTAATTTGAAATTGAGAAGAGAATAAGAAGCAACCAGGTTTTTGGGCCAATTTCGTGCATCCCCAGCCCAGTACCCCACCAAAATCACCCCAGCCTAGACCCAATTCCACCCTAATGAGCAAAACCCATTCAATTAAGCCCAAAACCGATCCAGACCCATGACCCTGCCCTGATGACCAATAAAACGACGTAGTATGAGAATGATACTACGTCGTTTGAGTTAATTAATGCAAAGTCAATCCAAGCCGTCTATTGCCCATCATCCAACGGTCTGGGTTCACTTAACACAAATTAATAAAATTGTCCTAAAATACCAAACAAACCCCAGACATAACCCTCCTTCCTCGTATCTCCCCTACCCTTTCCCGTCTCCGCCACCCACCGCCCTAACGCCGCCGCCGGAAATCGCCCCACGGTGGCGGCCAACCTCCAATGGCGCCCAAAAATTTACCACTTATTCTTCTCATCCTCCTCATTGTAGATCCGGTGCCCTTTTTCTTCAAACACCGCCGGAACGCCTCAAATTTACCAAACCCTAGGCGCCGCCACCGCAGTGCACGGCGCCGCCACCTCCCAAACCACTTCAAAATAGCACCCTGGGTTCTATTAGCCTCCCTCTTCTCAAATCCCCATCTGTCTTTGCTCGAATATCCCTCCAATGTCTCGAATTTATTTTTTAAAAGAGGCAGAACCCTAGAAGCACAATTGCCCAAGCTTTTCTCAGTTTCTTTAGGATTAAAATTGATTCGAGGCACGAAATAATGTGTTCGTTTGTTCTTGGCAAAGAAAAAACGTTCACATCATTTCGGGGCTTCGAATTGGAGTCTTGTGTGGTTCAATCTTCTACAATGTAAGTGTTTCCGTTCTATGTTTGTTCAATTTTTTTTGTTTGTTAAAATTGGTATATGCATATTGATTTGATTTTTATGTTGGTTAGTTTAGGTATTAGTTTAACTGTTGATTAGTTTAGGTGTTTAAATGTTAGTTAGTTGGATTTTCTATTAGCTTTTATTTTGATGTGCAGTATAATTAGTTAATATTGGTCGACATGATTTCTGTCAGCTGGGTATAATTGAAAACTCAATTGCTTGATTAATCATAATTAGCTTTAATTGGGGTAATGTTTAATTGATAGGGAGGGTAGTAATTTCAAAATAAGTGCAGGGGCAGTTTGGGTACTTAGGGCTGGGTAGAAATGCTGTAGGTTATACTAGAATTACCTAGAACCTTCTAAAATAGGACTTTAGTTCTAAATTCAGAAAATAGGTGCACTTACTTGAGAAGCAAGTCAATAAGTAGAGGACTAATTTGAAATAAAATAGGGACTAAGAGGAAAACAGAAAATTGGGGGCTGCCCTCATCTTTGCCTATAAAAGGCAGCCTCTAGTGCCTTGAAGACCAAGTTTGGAACCCAAAAATTCCCCTCCAACAACCATTCTGCAAATCTGAACTTCAAAATTTGAATTTCAAATAAAAGGAGTTAAAAATTCTGATCTGATAGCTTAAGCCTTTTCTTAGGTCTAGATCCTGTCGAAAAACAATAGAAAACTCTCAAAAAAAATCAAAAAAAGTTGCATTGATTCATCCTGTAGCTTCATAGTTCGATTTCGAATAAACTTGATGTCAAATGAGTTTGTTTGTTGATCAATTGACTGCTGTTGAGTTTCTGAGTTCAATCCTGGGCTATTTCTGAATCGATTTTGAGTTTGAGAGTAATTTCGGTGCTGCTGTTGAAATACCATTGCTGTTGACTGTTGTCTGCACTGCTGACTCATTACTCTCTCACATTTTCTTCATTTTCCAGGTACATGTTTAATCTCCAATGGCTAAAACTTAGGAAATTTGTAACTGAAGCATTGTTGGAATAGAAAGCTGAAATGTTTAGAGTTTTAGTCGTTCATTCATATGTTTTTCACATGATAGTTTTCTCTTGTTGATGTTTACGTACACATTAGTTTATGTATGGTATCAGCATTTGACATGTGATGACTTAGGTTTTGAGGAGCTGTATAATTGGATTGTTCTCCCTCTTGTTCTAGAAATTAATTTAGTCATTGTAGTTGGAATTGTATAATTGGACTAGAACTGTGTAGAGTACTATATTTCAGATCCATATGAGTACTATGAATATTTAGCTAATTTGTTTCATAGAATGATTTCGTGAGATGACTCGTGAATTGTTTCAAATCTATGTGAATAATAAAAAAAATACGATTTCCTGTTTCAATAGTTAATTCTAATAGTCCAGCTTATCTAATCATGTTAGTTTGACTTAGTTAAAAGATAGTTAGTTTGCATTAGTAGTACTGTTGCCAAATTCATGCATCTGTTTTTAATCTCCAACGTTAGTAATCTTTAGGAATTCACCAACAGATAGGGGAGTAGATTAATATGAGCATGAATTGAAATTCAAAGGGTCAGTATCATCTGGATGTGAGTAGAATAAATTGAAGCAGTTTCAGTGGCTACTTGTTTAAATTGAATTGAAGCTTGGTTTGTTTTAAGGATTTAGGTTCAACAGCCCATTGTCAAAAGTGTAGGCTTCAGTGCCTTAATGAGCGGCCCAAGTGTTGTTCGTGTATCCCGTGCACGTTTGGGCCTGGGCCAAGGCATGTGATCGGCCATTCTTTGATGTAGGCCTGAATGCCATTGTTCTTATGGTTTGCTTTAATACAATAACAAATTCATTAGGATTATATTATTAGGGACAAATTAAAATAGGAAATTATAGATTGCTTTAGATTTGCCCTTTTAATAATAAAACGAGACGAGCCTCGCTAAACAAAACAAATAAATTGCGGGGCCCTCGATAAATGTTTATACTAAAAATACCTAGACTCCGGGATGGGCCGTTTAACGAATTTCACGGCCCTCCCCAAAAATAATAACGCGTTAGTCACTTAAGGCGCGTTTTTTAATAAAATTTACCTTCCTAAATACGGGTGCATATTTATCTGACCCAAATCCAAATCTCAACGAAGTCGAAATGTGTCAGAAATCGCGGGTGCATTTATGTGACGCGGTTCGAGACATGTTTTTACGACGTTGCAATTTTCTTAAAATAATAATGATAAAAGCGGTTCAAAGTTAAAAGCACATAGATTAAAATATGTATTAAAATCAAATAAATAAGCCAAATATGACAGTTGAGCGACCGTGCTAGAACCACGGAACCCCGGAATGCCTAACACCTTCTCCCGGGTTAACAGAATTCCTTACTCGGATTTCTAGATCGCGGACTGTTAAAACAGAGTCATTCTTTTCCTCGATTCGGGATTCAACCGGTGACTTGAGACACCATAAATCTCCCAAGTGGTGACTCTGAATATTTAAATAACAAATCCCGTTTTGATTTTCACTTCAAGTTGGAAATAACTCCCTTTATTATACTCCCTTCCGGGGGTGTAGTGAAAAAGGAGGTGTGACACTATGTAGACCCTGGATCAAATAGCACTAAAGCATCCCTACTACAAACCAGAACAGTACATGTGATAACTGCATCTGAAGCCTCAGTTTCAAGCCTGCCTGGAAGAGCATAACATCGGGGCTGAGCCCCACCACTCTGAACTACATCTCTGGGACGGCCTGCTGCTGGCTGGCCTCCACCTCTAGTGGCCTGAGCTCCACCTCTAATACCACTACCTCCACCTCTAGCACCTCTACCTCCACCTCTAGGTGGATGGGCGGGCGGTGGAACACTCGATGCCTGAACCATGGCACGGGAACCCTAGTGCTGAGAACTGCTCAGTGCTCGAGGACAAAATCTAGCAATATGCCTCGTGTCGCCACAAGTAAAACAAGCCTTCTGCTGCTGGAACTGACGACCCTGAAAGCTTTGGAGCGGAGGTGCACTGATAGGAGCTGGATATGCATTGTAGGACTGTTGATCAGAATACTGAATATGAGAACCACGGCCACCTGGGGCACCGTGAGAAGTCTGAAGTGCTGACTGAAAAGGCCTAGGAGGATGGACTCTACCAAAAGAATCCCTGTCTCCAGACGAGTCACCACTGAATCTTCCTGAATGACGAGGCCTCTTGTCGGACCCCTGATCGCCTCCCTGTGATAGAACCATCTCAACCCTCCTGGCCACATTGGCCGCATCTTGAAAGGAAATCTCGCTCCTTGTCTCCTTAGCCATCTGAAGTCGAATAGGCTGAATGAGTCTCTCAATGAACCTTCTCACTCTTTCTCTCTCTCTCAGTGGGAAGTATAAGAAGAGCATGACAGGCCAAGTCAATAAATTTGGTCTCGTACTGAGTAATAGTCATGGAACCCTGCTGGAGACGCTCAAACTGCCTCCGATAGATCTCTCTCTGAGTGATAGGAAGAAACTTCTCCAAAAACAGCTGAGAAAATTGATCCCAAGTCAAAGCTGGTGACCCAACTGGTCTTGCCAAACAATAATCCCTCCACCAAGTCTTGGCGGATCCCGATAAGCGAAAAGTAGCAAAGTCGACCCCATTGGTCTCCAATATTCCCATGTTCCTGAGCACCTCATGACAGATGTCTAAATAATCCTGGGGATTCTCAGAAGATGCACAGCTGAAAGTGGTAGTGAAGAGCTTGGTAAACCTGTCCAATCTCCACAAGGCATCAGCAGACATAGCTGCTCCATCACCGGTCTGGCTACCACACCCGGCTGAACTGCTCCAACTGGCTGAGCTGCTGGAGTATGAAACTGGGGAGCTATCTGCTCCGGAGTGCGGGTAGCAGGAGTCTGGGCTCCTCCTCCAGCTTGAGAAATGGCTGGTGCTACAGGAAGCAAGCCTGCCCGGGTGACACTCTCCATAAGGCCCACTAGACGGACCAGAGCATCCTGGAGTACTGGGGTAGCAATGAACCCCTCTGGGACCTGAGCTGGGCCCACCGGAACTGCGTGGGCCGAAACCTCATTCTCATACTCAACCTAAGGCTCCGCCACTGGTGCTGCTGCTCTGGGCTGAGCTCTGCCCCTGCCTCGGCCTCTAGCACGGCCTCGGCCTCTGCCCCTCCTGGGAGCTGCTGCTGGGGGCTCGAGCTACTGATCAGTGGATGAGGAAGCGCGTGTTCTCGCCATCTGCGAAAGAACAGAGTAGAAATTCAATTAGCATTGAGAAACCAAACCGCACGACATAAATGAATAAATATGAAATTTTTCCTAACTCGGTAGCCTCCGGAGGATAAATACAGATGTCTCCGTACCAATCCTCAGACTCTACTAAGCTTGTCTGTGAATTGTGAGACCTGAGTAACCTAGAGCTCTGATACCAACTTGTCACGACCCGGATTTCCCACCCTCGGGAGTCGTGATGGCGCATACTCGTGAAAGCTAGGCAAGCCGAATATTATAAAATCGTTACCGTTTTTATTAAGCATGTTCAACAATTCAAAGTAATAAGTGATTAAACAGCGGAATAAATTAAATAACCAGAAATGCGGAAGACGAAAAACTTAATAGTTCAACCAAACACTGCTACATAATCTGAAGTACAATACTACCCAGAATTTGGTGTCACAAGTCACAGACTATCTAAGAATACTACATATAAGATCTGAATAGAAATATACAAATATGTCTCTAAATAAGTAAAAACAGAAAAGGGAAATGATAGGAGGAGACGCCAAGGCCTGCGGACGTCTGCAAGACTACCTTGGGTCGCCTGAATGGGCTGAAGACGGCACCCTCACTGCGGTCCAAACGCTCAAGTATTAGTATCTGCACACAGTGCGGAGTGTAGTATCAGCACAACCGAGCCCATGTGCTGGTAAGTGCCTAGCCTAACCTCGGCGAAGTAGTGACGAAGCTAGGACCAGACTACCAAAATAAACCTGTGCAGTTAAATCATATACTGCGGAAAATAAAAGCAGATAATTACAGCTAAAGTAGGGCGGGGGAAACATGCTGCGGGGAGTAGGAGATATCAACAGAATACCAATAGAGAAATGCAAGGAACGCCATAAATCAATTACCGGCAAAAGATAAGGAAATAAGAAGCAAGTACACATGTAATACCGTTGCAGGCGTTCAACCCGATCCCATTTCAGATAATACCGTTGTAGGCGTGCAACCCGCTCCCATTTCATGTAGTACCGTTGTAGGCGTGCAACCCGCTCCCATTGCATATAGTACCGTTGCAGGTGTGCAACCTGTTCCCATTTCATATAGTACCGTTGCAGGTGTACAACCCGCTCCCATTTCATATAGTATCGTTGCAGGCGTGCAACCCACTCCCATTTCATATAGTACCGTTGCAGGCGTGCACCCCGCTCCCATTTCATATATCAACACCAATCATAAAAGAATCCCGACAAGGGAACAATAATATCACAATAAACATCCCGGCAAGGGAACAATAATATAACAACAACATCCCGGCAGGGGACCAATAATATCACAACAGCGTCCCAGCAAGGGACCAATAATGATTATCCTCATATGAAGCAAGAATAAACCACAACGGAGTCACAACAATTACAATACAAGACTCACGGGCATGCTTGACACCGACGTATAGATACTCGTCACCATGCCTATACGTCGTACTCCACAATTAACACATAGAAAATAAGACACAACTCCTAATCCCTCAAGCTAAGGTTAGACCAAACACTTACCTCAAACTTCCACGGCCAACTCAAGCCTCAAACACCGCTTTTCCTTTAGAATTCGCCTCCAAATTACTCGTATCTATGATTTGGTGTTGATTTTTACTCTTCAAAAATTGCCTAGGTTCTGATTTTGGGGAAGGAGATGTGAGAAAATGGTCTATTCCCATTTCTGTTACTGTTTAAAAGAGCTGGGCGACAGTGTTCATCGCGTTCGCGACAACACTGTCGCGATCGCAAAGAGCTGCCATAAGTGGACTTACGCGATCGCGAGTCCTCCTACGCATTCGTGAAGGGTTGGCCCCCCTGAACGTCGCGTTCGCGGACCAGTGTACTCGTTCGCGTAGAAGAACGACAACATCCCAGACCAGCCACCGTTTTACACTACGCGTTCGCGGGACAAGGGTTGCGTTCGCGTAGAGCAGCCCCCCAATGCTCTGCGTCCGCGTTCGGGCGATTTGATCGCATGAAAGGCTTCGCGATCGCGAAGCACAGAAGGTCTGTTCATCAGAAGCAGCATTTCTGCAACTTTTCCTAAGTATAAAAACATCCCGAAATCCATCCGAAACTCACCCGAGCCCTCGGGGCTCCAAACCAAACATGCATACTAACCCAAAAATATCATATGAACTTATTCGTGCGATCAAATCGCCAAATTAACACCTTTAACAATGAATTTAGCATCAAAATCAAAGAAAAATCTCATGAACACTTAAGTTTCAAATTTCACAACCGAGGGTCCGATTCACGTCATTTCAAGTCCGTTTCTTACCAAATTTTATAGGCTCAATATAAACGCTATATAAGACTGTACCGGGCTCCGGAACCAAGATACGGGCCCGATACCATTAATTTCAAAGACATTTAAAATTTCCAAAAACTCATATATATTCCAAAAACAATTTTCTTTAAAAATTTATTTCTCGGGCTTGGGACCTCAGAATTTGATTCTGGGCATACGCCCAAGTCCTATATTTTCCTACGGACCCTTCGGGACCGTCAAATCACGGGTCCGGGGGGTCCGTTTACCCAATATGTTGACCGAAGTCAACCTAAATTCATTTTAAAAGCAAAATTCATCATTTTTCACAGATTTTTACATAATGGCTTTCCGGATACATGCTCGGACTTTGCATGCAAATTAAGGTGAGACAAATAGGAGGTTTTAGCCTCAAAACACATAATTTATTTCTAAAACAAGTGATGACCTTTCGGGTCATCACATTTAGTTAGAATTGAATTATTAACTTTGTATTGTCTTGAATAGTTTAGTTCGAATCTAGGGTTTAGGATTTGTTCTTGTGAATCGAACTTTCAGGGTATGGGTTGAATTTTTAGGATATAATTCTAACTTTTAGTTTATGTTTAAAATCGAAAGATATAAATTAAACTTTTACTTTATGTTTAAACTCGTAGGATATGAATTGAACTTTTAAGATATGAATTGAACTTGTAGGATATAAATTGAACCTTTTGGGTATGAGTTGACTTTTTAGAATATAAATTGAACTTTTAGTTTATGTTTAAACTCGTAGGATATGAATTGAACTTTTAGTTTTTAGGTTTTGTTCTTGTGAATTGAACTTTTAGGATATGAATTGAACTTTTAGGATATAAATTAAACTTTTAGTTTATAATTAATGATATTTAATATAATTTTATTTTTGGTGTAATTAGGAAAAAATAATTATCTAGAATTAACTAAAAAAAACTTAATTAATTTATAAATGTAGAATAAATTAATTTGTTTTTGTTTTATTTGTATAGATAGAACATAGTACTTGGATGTACAATAGGAATTTTCCTAATCGGCGGGGATTACGGGAGGATTTGTAGAAGGGGTGGATGACTTTATTAGACATGCAATGTCACTTCCACCATACCAAAGTGAAGGAGTAATTAGGTGCCCTTGTGTCAAGTGCGATTGTGTGAAGTTTAAAAAATCGGAGGAAGCTAAGCTTCATCTTTATAGGAAGGGGTTTATAGAGAATTACTTTGCGTGGACTAATCATGGAGAGATCGATAGTAGCCGTGAGATGTTTGTATGTTATGCTAACTTATGAATTTTTTTAACACTATGTAGGTAAATAATCCAAATAATGGTGTAAATCAATTTTTGAAGGATATATCTTGGGACCTAGGCTTCAGGTCACAACAATGCCTATGTACGTAGTGAATGGTTATAAGTTCCATAGATAGGATTGCTCTAAAAATAAAAATAGCAATAACAGCGGGGTGTGGGTTAAAGGTGGTGATGGCAACCAAGTTGGAGATATTGATTATTATGGTGTGCTCAAAGAAATAATAGAACTATAATATACAGGTTGGCCTTAGAAGAAATTGATACTCTTTAGATGCAAGTGGTTTGACCCATATCCAACAAGAGGTACAAGAGTACACAACCAATACAACATAATTGAGGTTAATCATATGAGGGAGTATGATCACTATGAGCCTTTCATAATTGCACATAATGTTAGGCAAGTG